GAGGAATGTGCCCTATTATACTGTACTAATTAGTACAAGAGTGACTGAACAATGTGGATGATTTGAAATGTAATTTGCTTACAAGATTTTTTATTTAATAATTACAAGGTGACGTATGAACAAGTCATGCGCCTGATGGTAAGCTACACACCTGTCCATAACAGTTACAGTGCCACCCACAGCTTTAAATTGCGAAGATCTGTGGGGCACTGAAACTGCGCCCGTCACCCAGAGACGTAAGTTGGCAAGTCCCATGTGCCTGTAATATGACCAGCGCTCTTACCCTTCAAAACCGATTTACAAAGAGAAAGAGAAATACCTCGAGTTTCTTGCTCATTCTTCTCAGAGAAATCTGCCCTACGAATGAGTGCAAGAGTTTGATCAAGGTGATGATTTCAAATGTAATTTGCTTACAAGATGATTTGGGTTGACGCAATGTGGCGTTTTGTTTGTCCATGAAACACACAGTGGCGTCTGGTTTGATATTCACCACTGAGAACTTTTAACCGACTTCAAAAAAAAAAAGGAGAAGGATTTCAAATTCAACTACACCTTTTTTTTGTATATATGTTACTCAACTTCAACTTCAACTTTTGTGTCTATGGCTCCGTCGTTTTGCGCGACGATTTTGCCAATGTCAGGGTTGAGAGACATGTGTAGCGGTAGTGAGACAGATTGCCGGTTATTAAAATACTTCGGCGGTTTTTATTCACAATGACGGTTATATGTATATATATTTTAATGACATTACAAAAATATAATTTGAGAGCTCATGTTATTTTCTTTCTTTTAGAAACGTTGTAGGAAGTTTTATTTAGCGGGAAATAAAAAATAACATCGTTTAGTAAAACAAAGTTAGGCGTCGTTTTCGTTCAATAACAAACTGATTACTCCGGCAATTTGTGAACCGATTTTGATAATTGTATTTTTGTTGTAAAGACCGTGCCGCTCAGAAGCGAACCCATTGAAATTTGAAGAATATATTCCACCTCTAAGGGTAGCAAACTAGGGGATGAATGACTTTTGAGGTCGGTTTTTTTAGTACTCTGTACTGAGATTATTTAATAGAACAATAAGTGCGCATTTGATCTCCATGTCACGTGATGGTAAGTGACACAAACCTAAACTAGCCAAGTTATAGCTTTCGTGGAATATCTATAATCCGCAGGCAGGGAATTCCACTCCCTAGCCTATCGCCGGAAACCTGGGAATATCCACAACATCTAGACTAAATGGTACGTGTCGTACGGTATCCTAGAATATTAGGCATGAAAAAGGATCAGTACCGCAGAAGTCGTTATAAGAAACACCAGGTGCTGGTTACATATTCACCATGTGTTTAGGAAACAATGATTTTCTGGCGGTGTACGGGAGGGCGACATGAATTAACTTCGTTACCCACCTTGCAACGAGAGACTCGCGAACATCGGCACTCGAAACTACGAACACTCTACCCGCAAATCTGAAGTGTTACGAACGAAATGTGTTGACCCGAAATGTTTTGAAATACCCAACTGAATCTTTTTATTATGAATTAATTTTACAGATGATCTTTTTTTTCTTCAAAAAAACTTACTTATACAGTGTGTCCGGGATGTAGTGCAAAAGCTTTCAAATGACACCAAAATGTAGGGCAACCAAGTCCGAGAACCCATCTTGCAGAAGCAAGGGTAAGTTTCTCAATTTAAAAATTAAAGTGGCTGTATTTTGAAGGGGATTAGGAAGCGATCCTCATAAGGGGGTTTATTTTTTGATAAAATTTACCATAGTTTACGCCCTTAAAGTTTTTGAACTACATCCCAGGACACACTGTATTTTTATATTGAACATTCCGGCGTTTAACTTTTATTATTATTATATTTAACTGCCTCTGTGGCCGAACGGTTACCATGCCGGACTGCTCGCAGAGATCCCCGGGTTCAATTCCCGGGCCGGAAGAAATATTTGTATGGCCTACATTTATTTCTCTCGTGAGTTGGGGTGTAATTTGTGGTTGGCTGTGTGTGTGTCAATGGCACCCGCTACACAGGGTTTCCCTAGTGCGGGGCTATGTTGAGTGTATGCGTTATTATTATTATTATTGCTTGACATCGTATTCTGAAATGTAATATTATGGCATTCGTAATATGAAATGGAAAATTCTATTCTTGTAGCGGCCCACACAGCGGGCGCGTGGCAAGGTGCGTGTCTGACTGTCTATTGAAGGATTTCGGTAAAGCGTAAACACGTGTTTCTTTTAACTACTCGTTATTACTATTGTATTAGGCGATATTTTATAGACGCCTTTTTAATTTCGTTACTGTATAATATTAACGTTTTCGCATTAAAAATTATTAGTGTCATTATCATTTCAAGACCAGACACGCAACTTTTTCATTACCTTTACTCGATCGCCTGAAGAATGCGTGCACTGTTAACATAGTCTAGGGTATTAACCCTAATGCACTGGATTTGCAGTGGCGGGTCACTGTAAGGCGCGAGGCGAGGCGGGGGCGGGGCGGGGGCGCGGCGGCGGAGCAAGGTCGGCACCCGCACTAATGCTAAGCCGGCAAACAACGTGCTCGTATGTTGGGTCGTCACGAGTCGCGCTTATAGGTATCACCGACGCACTTTGATTGTCGCGTCGGGGTGGTTAATTTACACATTAGCTGATTTGTCAATATTGTAATCTTTTTGTGCATTTCCTTCCACGAGGACGATATTGGACAGTAAGATGATTTATTGTTTATGGATATTGTAGATTCAATTGAAAAAACTGAGCAGAGTTGTTGTATAAATGTGCCACCACCCACGACCCCTCTAAGCTTTGGGTAATAATCTAAGCCGGTTTGATGCGGGTTAGATAGAAAAACACTTTATTCACTAAACAAATAATAAATGACACAAATACAGATTTGCCTGCCTCCATGGTCGGGTGATTTGCACACCGGTTTTTATGGTATCGCCATCTCTGAGGTCCCGGGTTCGATCCCGGCCGGTTCAGTTTAGAAACTAATTATGTGGTCTCGGGTCTGGGTATTCGTAGTACCGTCGTTGTTTCCGATTTCGATAACACAGTTCTTTCGCAAATTACCTTGGACAACATTATAATGATGTTGTCTAACATATTTATATTATTTAGATTAAGCACAAAAGTAATGACTTTTCATTACTTGTTTAAAGCTAAATAAGAACGAAAAAGATCAATAATGAAAAATTAAACGTCGTTGCGAGATTTCGAACAACTATTTTTTTCAATTACATCATTAATATTAATAGAAAATATGACCATATGTCTCTGAATTTCGATCTAAGTTAAAATGGCACCCAATCTGTTCGGTTCGGCTGCACTTGATAAAAAATGAAATGATTAAAACAGTGCAATGTTAAAAATGTTTTGTTAACGTATACGATAGCGTTGCGATATCTTAAATTGTCCAAGAATTGTTATTTACACTTTCTTTGTACAAAAAATAATTAACGGGGTGAGGTGGGTGAGGAGCTCGCTCGCTAATGAGTAATACGAAATGGCGCCTCTCGACACGGTAAATTAATTCTGAACTGAGATTTCATCCGGATAACACCAAAAGTGGACAGCCCTTCACCCCTGAATCCACTTCCCGTCGTAGAATCGGCTTTTCATTTGGAATCTTCGATCAAATCAGTCATAACGAGCGCGCACACAATCCGACTTCGCAGTAATATGTACATTTGTCTTTATCTTCTTAACAAAATCCTACACTACCCCTAGCTTCCTCACAATCTACGTTCCCATTTTACTCTCTTACCCCGGCCCAAAACGAACCTATAAGAGATCTCTCCTAATATACAACAATACAACACAATATGCTTTATTTCTCTCAATAAGGTTATAGTTACAGTGTATGAATACATTAAAAATACAATTATTAATTACAAAAAAATAAAAATAACAACTATCAAGTGCCTTAGTGTCTGCTGGAGTCTGTACTAGGTTGGATACCTGTGTTACAGATCACCAGTCTCACTCCCTCTTAGTGTAAGAAAACGCGACATTAACTTAATACAAAAATACAAATAAATTACAAAATAAAGCATAGGTTATCTAGTGCAAAAATGTGTGTGTGCGTGTGTGCGTAAGTGGGTGTGTGTGTGCGGGTGTGTGTGTAATTTACTCTGTAGTTTGTCAACATTTACCTAAGACAGATGTAAAACAATAGATCTTGGTTTACACCGTTTTTATGTAGATACAACTTCCGCCTCTAGTGATGGTATTTAAAAATTTAATATACCAATGATTATTATTAGTCACAGAAACCCAACTACGTAAACATTTGTAAATTACTGTATTTAATAATCTTATACGGAAACTGTATTATTAGCGATGCTTCACATTGAAGCCGTCGGACTTCGCGACGTTGCACTAAAATGAGCAAATGCAAGTTAAACTTATTATCTACAAGATAAGGGAACATTTAATTGAACAGAAAATTAAAACGAAACTGCAGCAAGCGGCGGCGGGCTGCAGTAAGTGCACTTTACAAAATACAACAATATACTATAGAACATACTAGAGTATAGATTTCTTCATTGACATAGCAATAAATGGACGTCGGGTTCGCGCTAAAAAGTATCCGAACCTATAGAGCTTTAAATTGCAAACAACGCGTGGCAGTTTTTACAAAACAGAGTTAGACTATTTTCTTAAAAAACCACAGCAATCATCGTGTTTCGGCTACGATCCGATTCCCATCGCTGACTTTTGCACTTGGTGCAGACCGGACGCACTCAATTGACTTGGATGTATATACTCGTAAACGTAATGTACTCTTAATTTTGGTAATATTTTGTTTATTTTTATTTGAGACTGATACTGTTAAGAAGTGAAAGGGAAATAATTTACAACTATATAGTTCACAAGGTAAAGAAAACAATAAAGTACGCAGCTCTGAATTAATTTCGTCTCCATCCATTCACAACATCCATTAACAGTGCCACGCCAATGCACCTTCAAGCTGTAAGGTAATAAGAGTGGAACTCACGGGTGCGGTGCCGTAGGGCTCGAAGTCGTGCACGCGTTCCGGTGGCGCCGGGGGCCGAGGCTTCGTGCTGCGGTCGAAAGTTGGCACCTGAGGCTCCTCTTCATCCGAGTTGCCCTGGCATCATACCGACTCATTAGATTAGAAACGAAATCTTCTAAAAGAGGACGGGGTCTGGGAGATCAAATTGATTTGATTTAGTTAATTTAAAATGGTCCAATGAAATAGTTTGTTTTTTATTTCTTTTATGTCTTTTATTTTACGTCATCAATATGTTTTGTACACTAAATTGTAAGAATGTTGGTTCGAATCCAGCCGGATCGGAGGAAGTTTTCTTTGGATTATAATTATCAGAAACTAGTGAAGAAATTTCACAAAAATAATTGAATATCATGATGGTCAAACATCGCGAGTTTCAATAAACTTAAATATTAAATAATACTTGTTGTACCTTAGTAAAATAATGCGTGTGTAATTTCATATTGTTTATGGACAGGTATGAATTTGTTAATGAACATAGGATAAGGTAGCGCAGTCCATCGAAGTTATCTGTTCTTGTTTATTACGAAATTGACGAGCTTGTGAGCAAGATGGAGTGTTATGAAATAGACTTACCGATCCGTTGGCGATGTTTGGTGAAGATAGTGAACGAACTAATCCTGTGGGGCTGTCCACTGGCGACGACATGTACGTGTCGCCGTCTTCGTCCTAGAAACCATGAAATATATTTTAATCATGGTCTAGTCACTTTTTATATAAGGATTGGGTTCGTAGTGAAATTTATTAATCACTTTTTGTGTTTTAGTTTCGTAATATTGACAACTTGTACAGCGTTTCTTGTGTTTACAAGACGAACTAATAGAATTTTAAGTTACGGTACAGGTCTGTTCCACGGATCTAAATAGAATGACGCAGGGGACTTTCAAAACTTCTCATTTTATATAGACCGATTTGTTGATTAGGTTTTTTAATGATACGAATCTTCGTAATTATTTGTAAATTTAATAGTAAGATGTGCTCATAGGTAACCATACTAATTACTTGGTTGGTATTACTGATTGGCAAAAACGTGCTTGATCTATATAGACACTTTTGATGTTTATATGCAGATGCAGTTTTTCCACCCACTTTAAAGTTACTCAAATGATTCGATTCATCCGAAGAAGAGAGTACGATGTGATTATATAGCCAGAAGAGGATAACTACGTTACGAGAATAATTTTGTTATTCAAACAATGTATTTTGAGAATTTATATATGTTATTTCGTTTCGGAAATACAAAATCGAACAACGGTCGATCTGACATTCACAGCGCAGAAGAACGAACGAAATGTACTATGTTCTGAGAACAAGTAATCTTATACATAGATCTTTGTTCTACGGATGAGTCGATTTGAGTGAGAGGGATTGTTTGCTAAGAGACGAAAAGTGAAATGGAAATGTCTTTATTATCTTTGACAAAGAGCACTAATACCTATATATCTATGGACCTCACATGTTTTTGAATGTAGTTTCAGTATTGAAACTGTGTTGTGGAGCACTAGGCTCTCATCTCTTGTAAAAACATCACACGAGTGTTGTAATGTCTAATTACGTACAGTTACACATACTGCTTTATTTATATATGCAAATATTTAAAGCTCTCTATGATGTGTTCAGGAATCGTATGTTACGACTGGCGAAATAGCGGTAAATATAGACTTTCTCACGCATGTCACACAACCTCAGTTTTTATGTAATTCATAGACAAACAACTATCGTATATTTAATGTCGAATAAAACTTCATCTCGACTGATATTAGATTTGAGGTCGAATGAAATTGTTTTGTTTTTCAGAGATGTTCGAAATTTGAATGTAATCTAACAAAACAGTTTACCTTTATGCTGGTCGTAATTTGCGGTTTTTGGATACATCATAGAGGGTTCATGATATGTGCGTAGATAAACAGCTATAAAAGAATCGAGTTCTTAGGATTTCGCGATTGTTACACATGGGAAACGAAACTTTTTTTTTGTTGGTTGGTTTTTTGTTGTGTTGGTTTGTTTGAAAAAACAAATAAACGCGATTTAAATCCAAGTGTAGTATTTGAGTGAGTGTTTGTGTAGTATTTGAGATGGTTACGTACGACATTGCGGTTCTTGTCGAATTGTGGTTTGCGCTTGTCGCGCGCCTCGGCCAGCTTGCGCTTGCGCTCGGCCTCCATGAGCTCGCGCCGGCGGTCGAGCTGGTCGCGCTGCGAGGTCACCGCGGCGATGCGCGCGCGCGACGCGGCCACCTCCCGCGCGGTCATCGCCTTCTCCGCGATCAGACGCTGCCGCTCCACTGCAACAACACACACATACTTGCTATAGCAACTGACACCTCGAGGCACATTTTGGGGCTACTAATCTCCAGCTAACGTAATCGACATTTATAACTAAACTAAAATTAAATTAAACAGGCACTAGTGTACATTTTCTAATAAGTAAACTCAACTATAGCGTTTTGTTTACGATTTTAATTAAAAATTATTACAAAATCGAAAAGGAACGAAGCTTCAACATAGTGCTGTTTTTCAGTCTCCACCTGTGTTCTCTATCGACGTTGTCGGAACATAATTCTGAACAAAAGGTCTACTGCAAAACAAACGTCGTTAATCTAACTTAAATCTATTTATTTACTGACTTTTTAATTAAACTATTAACATGTCGGATCACCGAAACGAAATCTACAACTCCATAGATTTTTTTTATATCTTATTTAGTTTCAGTTTTATTCTTAAACAAAATCAAGGTAATTTTTGCTTATCTCTCATATAAATAATACCAGTCGCAGTCATTGTTTTCAGAATATTCTATGAGCCTAAAGACCTATAGCACAGTTGAAGCTCCAACCATCACACATAACAGATGCTTTGGTTTACAACATAACGTTATATAATATTATTACAGAGAATTAACATTTTCTGTCAACAATAAAACTTTTAAGTTCCAATATCTCGAAAATTACCAAAACGCAAATACGCCAGTAATGAAAACAAAGTGAATTTACGCCTTTTACTCATTAAAGTAGGCAAATACGATGCCTTCCAATCACTATGATCCTGAAAAATATTTTCAATGCTTGATACAGTAATCTAACTTAATACAGTCACACTCATTACATATCCGCACCCCATCCTCACTTACACACACTACACAATTCACATATCTCCAATTGCCATAAACTTTATTTCAAATTTATATTCCAATTGTTAAATTACACTATTTTTTACCAGTGACAACTTCGCCACGAGTACGTGTTTCTCATTGTAACTATTTCTTCACAAAGGCAAAACACATAATTTTACACGGTTTAAACCCAAAATTCCCACAAATATTGTGAAAGAAAATAAATAAACAATTATTAATAAACACACAACTAATACTGACAATGTGCAACATTGCGTCCAACTTTGGGCACGTGTAAAATTTATAAATACGGTCAAAGAATATTTACAAATTCACTTATCGAGAAAAATAAAAACATATGTAGGTAGACAAAAAAAAACAAGCGAACAGATATACGACACGGCATAGCGCACTAAATGAGGCAATGACACATTCAGAATGTAACACGTAAGAATGTCACATGTAAGTATATTTTTCTATTCTTTTTTTTTATATTTTAGTAATAGCATGGACCAACAAATCAAGAAGGCTGCTAATAGCAATCCAAGACGACATAGTCGGTAGAAGTGGCCATTATTACAATGGCAGATAATGTAATGCATTATTCTTACGCAATGTATAACTCATTGTCGAAGTATAGCTTAGTATATTGACAAGCAAGTATACAATAAATAATTATCACTAATTACAGGTGTCTTACCACGGCATGAGCACCTTGTGACTCTCCGATTTGCCTGAACAGTCGTTCGCTTCATTGTCACGAGTTGACTGGACAGCGGGAGATGACAACTTTAAGAACAGACATAATTATCTGTCTACCGTCTTTTTTTCTTTCGACGACTACCTTCATTTCGATTATTTATGGCGTTACCATGTCACTCACTTTTTTCCCACAAACCACTTTCACTGTATCCACACGAGAAAATGAAGTCGAAGTGTTTTTTTAAATTATTGTAACACTAATTTAAAACCATTTTCAAGGTTAAACGTTTGGTAAATTTGTGTATAGTGACGTTCCGTCGACATCCTACTAACAAAAGATAGTCTTAAATAAATCATCAATGCGATTCATTACAGTAATAAATAAACCTTTACGATACTAGGCATTTAAAATTCATGTAGGTATATTTATTTTTCCTTTTCAGATTCATTCGACAGAACAAACCAGTCAGGATGCAAGCGTTTAACGAAGTCGACACTTCTTTAACTAACGAAGACTTTTATAATGTACTAATGGATTCAAGAGGCAATGTGAAAACCACCCTCTTTTTACTCGTTCAAAAATGTATTTGATGTAGATACTCAGTCACTTCTATTACCAAGCTGCAGCATTTTATACCTCAAGATTTCAAGCCGAAGCTATCACTAAACTACAATTTTTTTTATTACTAGAATTCTGAAAGTATTTTTTAATTATTTACTTTTTACACTAATTAGCTATGAAATTAAGATTAAATGTTTGAAAATGACAATATATATATTTTATACTTCTTCCATTTATACGAAGCATAACCATTAAATATATTTTATTATGTGTAATAGAGCTATGGCAAACAGTTCTGCATCACATTCAATACATCCAATACCATACCATCTTATCTGTAACTGTAATTTCTCTCATATTTCAATTTCATTACAGCATTCAATTCAATTAGCATTTAAAAATATTTTCACTGCCAGTATGAGTTACTTTTCCTTCTGAGACTTCTTCAGAGACCGAATTATTAACAGAAGAGGATAAAATATCTACCGAACCATTATTTCCATCACCCCTACACTGCTTTGTAGTCACAAGACACGAAATGGTCTGCTATTGTACTTCTAAATCCACAATATTGTACTTCGAAACCGCAAACTTGGGTTTCTGTTTCTTCAAAAACCTATACGGAACCACAGGTATTGCTCTGTGTTTGAGCATCGAATGACAAATTACTTTTCTTTGCAATTGTTTGTTTTGGGAAAACTTTTCTCCTAAGCCCTCCACTTCACTTTACCATATCCATTTTTAGTACTTATAACGCGTAAATTAATGACAATAGACTCAAGATCTTAATTAATAGATACAAAAAAGAAATGGCGAACGTGCTCATGTAGAAGCAGAAAATAATATCTATTATATTATCCAACTCTAAATACATTGTGTCTCGTGTTAGATGTATCCAATATATCCAATTTACCAGAATTAATTATATAATAATTTAGATTAGTTCGCTTCCTTAATTGATCCTTCAGACAACAGAACTTCATTATTTTTAAACTTTTAAACTTTATTAGGAATGCTTGTTTACAAACTCTTATGCTCAAATTTCAAATTCTAGCACTGCCGTGTCAAACCAAAGAATACACTGGAATGTCACTGAAGGTGTTTTGATTTAACAGGGCTCATATGATTTCTCTAGGCCTAATCTATACCCTCACATTTCAATTTTTGAGGAACAAGTGTTTTTGAATGAGATATTAAAAACTAAAATACACTGCAACTTTTAAAATTTTGAAATCATTTTGACACACCGCGGTACGCTGCAATCTTTTTATATGACAATTACGCGCGCGAAATGCAGAACTTACGTGTGGCGAAGTGCCAGTGTTAGCGAAAACTCTCAGATCGCGCAAATGTCTCAGGAGCAGGGGTCCACTAATATTTGTCGCGGCTCAAATTTTAACAATAAAAAACGACATTCTATCGTGATAAACCAAAACATTGCAAGGTTCAATAGAGTGTTTTGTAATTTCATAACAAGAATCTTTCGGTTGTTAACGAGGGAAAAGAAATTTATTCGTTTTTCTATAGAAATAACTCACTCGCCAAAGTAAAATCATAATGGCTAGAAAGATTTCTTTAATATCTAATGTACAACGTAAGTTAAATATATCTTTTTATGGTATTAACCTCAAAAGATACAAAAAACCGAAAAATCCTTCTCAAAATCCTGTTTTTGATATTACAGTGTTTTGGCTTTACCAGTTATCAAATAAAACTTCGTACCTTCTTCAGACTCGGAGTGAGTAGCGGTGAGGTCATCGCTAATCCGTTCGGCTTCCTCGCGATCGCGACGTTGATACTCTTCCAACTGGTCGCGCAACTGCTGATTCTCTTGTTCCTGTTTCACAGTTAAAGGACGTATACTTTCAGCAGACAACACCAACCAACCACATATCCTAATGCTAGATAAAAATTCCTCTAAGAGGAGAGTTCAAGGGTTGTGAACTTCCCTCAACATGCAAATTTCATTGTAACATACACACAACACCTCGTACTTTTCTATTGCATAAGTGGTGTATATTACAAGATTCCATAGATTATGTGCGATTTAGAAGTACTTATTGGTCTCCTATAAAAACAGCATTTAGATATTTTGAGTTTCATTTTCTATGCCTAATTTCGGTGGCAACTTTTATTATTTAAGTATTTGAGTCGCCTTACTTTCTCAAACTCGTATCTTAAAGCACACAATAACTGAAATGCAAAAAATGCATTGTATATTACAAATTTGCAGGCTGATTTTACATCGCGTTTCCTTCATATTCACACACTGGCTTTAACGTATTAGAAATTAACACCCTTGATAAGAATTTTAAAATAAATAGAAATCTCGTCTCCTGTATAACTATTCTTTATAAGATACGAGATTGAGCAAATAATCGACATTAAATAATACTTCATATATTCTAGATCATTTGAATAATAAAAATTGTCACCGAAATTAGGCAGAGAAAACTAACCTGGAAGTTATCCATTTGCCTTGGGTTCAAGGGTAGGAAGCTCCAAACGTATACTAATGGTTTATAATACCAACATGAAAACAAAAAGTGGTTGCACCACACTTGCGTGGCTGATGGCGTCACGTCTAAAGGTACCACCTACCATGTCGTATTGCTTGTTCTCGAGCTGCATGAGCTGCGAGATGATCTCTTGCTCGCGCAGCTGATACATGACGCGCAGCTCGTCGCGCTGCTCGGCTTCGCGCTGCAGCCGCACGCGCTCCCAGTCCTATTGCCGAAAAACAACAATGTTATTATTATAACATAAACGCTGAGTTTGTAATGTTAATTTTGTTTGAAATTATGAATGACTAAATGAAATTATTTATTTCCATTCCATTTAATCATAATACAATCATATGTAGGCACCGGTTTAGGTCGTTTAGCAGTGGCGACATCCAGGCAGTCATAGTATTTGATCATATACAAACAGACTGGATACTAAATGAGAATATTGAAACACTGTAAATTTTATAGCCATCTTCCTTCTGTCAGGCTCCAGTGAAAAACCAGCGCTAACTCTTTGCACAGCATTAAACTAAGCTGGCTAGTCTTTACGGCTATATGTTGTTCAACACATTTGCACATAAATAGTACGACCGCGTTCAAGTTAAGTTGACTATAATGCCCCAAATAAAAGCCTCGGCTCTTGTTTCTTCTCATCACAGCCTACTGTAAGTAGGCGTCATAAGAAGAAAATAGGGCGGTACGGGTTTTACGATCCTCGACTCCCGAGCTTCTAATAGAGTTTCATTCATAATTCGTTATTTACCGTCTTTAATACACAATGTAATATTTTTTTCTTGGCACTGTGGTGTGTGGTGTGGTGGCACCTAACATTTTCTTTGAAAGAAAAAGAAAGATAATGGCACGTTCAATTAAGCGATTTGTCGTACATTACATATGTAAATATAAATAAGTCGGTATATTTTATTCTTATTATATATTGTAATTCGTCGAATAAAATAATTTAAATATTTAAGTAACCACACAAAATATAAGAACAAGCAAGAATAAAAATTGATGAGGTGTAAATTCAGAACCCATCCGAAGATATTTTCCTTTTAATAAAACAAACTGATGTTTTATAGTTCAACTGTTTTTCTTTCATCTACCATTTTCATATCATACCATTTTCATCGCTATAGTGAGGTGAAAAGTTGCGTGTTTCCCTCGGCAGCAAAGTTGTTTTGCGTCTCGTGCCTTGAAACCTTCGCTACGCTCAGGATTCTATTTTTGAACCACGAGCGATGCTCGTGCTATTTCTTTTTTGGCAACAGCACGAATTTCATTTTTACCTGTTCGGCCTCGATGCGCTGCAGCTGCAACGTAAGCGAAGTGTCCGCGATGCGCTCCTGCTGCTCCAGAATGCGCTGCATGCCGCGAGCGCGTTCCTCGTACACCTGCACCGCTGCAGCCTGTCGACGCGTACGCCACAATCAACATAAAAATGGTAACTACTAGTATTTTGAAAAGCGGGTCGTTAAACAGCAGGGCAAGAAATAACGAACCTTGCTGGAGCGGTCGACGACCGGCTCGCCGGGCTTGCCCGCGCGCTGCGGTGGCATCGACACCGGCGGCTGCAGCGGCGTCGCAGGCGGCTCCGTCCACGTCGGATAGTCGATGTCACCTGTTCACATTCATATAGTTACAGTATCTGGTACGTATTCCGGATAATCGCTAAGGTCTGTAGAGCGCTTGGAGAAGATGGACGCCGCATCCACGCATCACGAGTTTTATATTTATTTTAATACCCTTCGTTTTAATATCCCACAATACGGGTTCAGCACGAAAACAATATAAAAATATCAGTTCTAGTTCATTTATCCAATCCACGGCCATTTTAAGCAGGTTCAAAACGTCAGCAATAAAAATGCAAACTCAACCGTCGGCGGCACTTGCTTATCGGTAACCAAAATTCACACATTTTTAATTTGAAACACAAAAAATCTTGATATTGATTGGTCTTAGCTTCAAATTTAAAAAGAAATAACTAGTTCTGGGTTGTTAATATTATCGAGTTCTTAGGTTTTCGCGATTGTTACACATAGACATAGCTGGTTGAAGACTGTATCACCTCAGTCACCCGTGACCATGGGACCTGTAAAGGGCCCGGAACGTCGGTTTGTTTGAAAAAACAAATATACGCGATTTAAATCCGGAAAAATAGTTTCATTTCCTATTTGTTAATATTGTTTAGACTTTACCCTGTGGGCATATCGTTCGAAGGTTCAATACCGTCAATACCGATTGTTGCAAGTTACGACGTTCAGGAGCAGGAGAGCACCTTGTGAAAGAGTTCGTCCAGGGAAGTACTGCCACCTTACCTATTCCTGCCGCCAAGCAGTAACGTCAGCATTGCTGTGTTCCGGTTTGGAACGGGTGCTAGTGAAATTACAGGCACCCACGGGACTTGTCAACTTATATCTCAGAGTGACGGGCGCAGTGCAATGCGCCTCATATCTTTGCGATTAAAAGCTTTGAGTGGTACTGCAGCTGTTATGGACAGACGTGTAGGTTACCATCAGGCGCACGACTTGTTCGTTCCGTCACTTGTTATTATACAAAAATAAATAAAAGTTTTGGTATTACATTGGATTTTCAATCAATGTAGCTATCTAGCGTTTAACTGCTGAACGTCACAGTGAATGGAGTTATTAATTTAGTTCTCCAAAAAGGAAGCGACCATATTGCAGAGGTATAAGTTTTACTTTCGTTTTTTGTAAAAAAAAAAATATTTCGATAAACAGAAAATTGAAAATTTATTGGAATAAGACTTTTCGATGACATGAATTACCACCACGGGTAATGTTTTCGGTGCGCCTCATTGACTTACAAATAAATGGACGACGGGTCTAATACAAAAACCACGAAAAAAATGTCCCAAGTCAACCTATTTAAACGTAGTGACATGTAAAGGAATATGAAAAAGCAAAACCGTTGAATTTAAATTGTAATGTCATCGCAGTACTGTCTAATTTTGCTTGCTTCGCTGTCAGTCGAACAAACGAAGACTAAAGCGTGAATGACGCTATGTATACGATTTTAACGCCCTATAAGTTCGGACACTTTTTAGCGCGGACCCGACGTCCATATGATTGTAAGTCAATGGTGCGTCTATCATTTTTTAGGATTTTTAGATAATTTGCACGAAAGAATGACACAACCATACCATACAAAGCGAAAATGGCGGACTGACCTCAAGTAGGTCTTCCGAGACCTACAGTTACGTCAGACGCTAACTAACCACTTCTACTGTATTTATTGTTCTGTGGTTTCGGCTATCGCCCCTCGTTGACTATGTCCTGATCGAAATTCGCGCAACTACTGTTGTGTCATCAATGCCATATACATCCCGCCAAAACTCAAGGTTTTTTTTTTTTTTTTTTATACTTGACAGGCAAATGACTCCACTCCACCTGATGTTAAGTGGAAAGTGGTATCCAAACGCGAAGGAACCTAGTGCAGCGATGGAATCCTCACTGCACTAGCCGCCTCCACCCTGCCTGCCTACAATATGCCTCTTCACGCCTCGTTTGAAGTCGGATGTATATGTTCCTTATATTGATTTACTGACATATCATTTGCAAATGCCTGACGAAAATGATTTCATCGTACTTGGTGACTATAATCTACCAACACTAGAATGGTACAAGTGTAACGCATATGCACTTGTACCATGAGGCCTGTAATAAGTAGTTCTCATTTATAACCGACTTCAAAAAAAGGAGGAGGTTCTTAATTCGTGTATGTTTTTTTTGTATGTATTTTACGCGATAACTCCGGTATTTGTGAACCGATTTTCATGATTCTTTTTTTTTTTTGTTGGAAAGAGGGTACCTCCATGTTGGTCCCATTTCGTTTTGAAGAAAATCATCCACCTCTAAGGGTGGTGGTGGTGAATCACGCATGAGCATTTATTTAAACCAGCCTTTATACATATATTTAAAAACAAATGAATAGTTGGATGAAATGGAAAAGTGCCAAAATAAATCGGATTCGAACTATTTAGTATCTATAGGAGATTTAAATCTGAGTCTAACTTGTATTACAGGAAATATATGAATAAAGTTCAAGACAGTATACATGATAATATTAAGTACTTTTGGACATATAGCATTTAAGAGCTCTTTAAATATATCCAACAGGCCTAACAGCAAAAATAAAGCTTTGGACTCATTTTCTGTACATTTGCAAATGTAAGTTAAGTCACTGATTTGCCGGGGGTACGAAAATACAAGCTTTCGAATTATATTTTTCTAATATTTTCCAACTTTTTCAATGGTTCAGTAATTTGAAATTTGAAACGTTTCGGAAAATCACCCAACGTCGCGAAGATACTCACTAAGCATGTCCTCCAGAAGCTCCTGCTGGCTGGGCGGGACGGCCTGTGGGTTGGTCGTTAGCGCGGGGTACTTCAGCATCCAATCCTCGTAGCCACCGTAGAGCGCCAACGGTGGCCGCGAGTACTGCACGTTGACGTCCCACTGTCGAACAAAACACACCCTTATCTCATATCACATTAGACATATTTCTATTTCAAGCCCGTTACAACCGATTTCGCTTTACAATAATGGAACACCAACACCGCTTTCACTGGAACCAAACGTTGTTCCCCAAGACATCGTACTCCTTAATTCCGGCCGTTCATACATTGGAATTTTATTAAGAAGTCAAAGTCAAAGTCAAAGTCAAAGATTATTTATTCCATAGGTAAAATAAATTTACACTTGAAA